TGCATTCCTCAGAGTCCATGAGGAGTTTGCTTACCACTGCCTTCCAGCACCGAGTCCTATTCCTGAATACAGAAAATACTCAGTAATAACTTCCCTGTAACATACACAGCCTAGGGTCACCGTCTTTATTGCAAAGACTTATTCCACTCTGAAGCCCTGACTTAGCCCAGCCTATTGCTGCTCCAGTACACGTGTTGGACAGGGAGCTGGACACCTTCTTTTCACTCCTTTCCAATTGATCTTTCCTTGCTTCTGGGATCTCTCCAAAGTCTCTTTTCCCAAGACATTCACTGTTCACTTAATGCACTGTAAATGATAGCTATATATTTGAAGGTGTATACCTATATAACACATTACTGAGTAGATATAGTGCTTTATTGTAATGAAATATATATTTTCTATTTATTTATTTGTTTATTTTTTGAGACAGAATTTCACTCTTGTCACCCAGGCTGGAGTGCAGTGGCAAGATCTCGGCTCACTGCAACCTCCACCTCCTCTGGGGTTCCAGTGATTTTCCTGCCTCAACCTCCTGAGTAGATGAGACTATAAGCACCTACCACCATGCCTGGCTAATTTTTGTATTTTTAATAGAGATAGGGTTTCACTGTGTTGGCCAGGTGGTCTCGAACTCTTGACTTCAGGCAATCCACTTGCCTCAGCCTCCCAAAGTGCTGGGATTATAGGCATGAGCCACTGCACCTGGCCGAATTTCATATTTTCTTATGCATAACAATGATCTCTATCAGAATCCTGGTTTGGGGGCGTCAAATGATGTTTAGGTGCCCTTAGTACTTTAGTAGATTGTAGAGTGCCCTGACCTAGGAACAGCACTTTCTTCCTTCCAAGGGTAGTGCAGCCATGGCATCAGGGTGAGAGAGGCTAGACCTGCCTGGCCCCAGAGGACCAGACCAGCTGCTCATGGAATCCAGGGTGGACAGTGTGGTCTGATCCATCCAGGCTCGTAGAATCCAGGGTGGACAGTGTGGTCTGATCCATCCAGGCTCGTAGAATCCAGGGTGGACAGTGTGGTCTGATCCATCCAGGCTCGTAGAATCCAGGGTGGACAGTGTGGTCTGATCCATCCGGGCTCCATGAAGGTCATCAAGGGAGAAGGTTCCCCACTGCACCTTCCACCACGAACCTGAGAACGGCCTCTCCACTGATATTTCAACTTCAAAACATAAAAAATGGATATATTTTATACTCTACAGTCTATGAATAAGGTAAAATTTCTCCTGATCCTTCCCCAAATATTTAGCCATTGCTTTTGAAATGCTAAAATGATGCCATAATAAAGAAATATAAGAATAGACCGGGCACAGTGGCTCATGCCTGTAATCCCAGCACTTTGGGAGGCCGAGGTGGGCAGATCACCTGAGGTCGGGGGTTCGAGACCAGCCTGGCCAATGTGGTGAAACCCCGTCTCTACTAAAATGCAAAAATTAGCTGGGCGTGGTGGCGGGTTCCTGTAATCCCAGCTACTCGAGAGACTGAGGTAGGAGGATTGCTTGAAACCAGGAGGCAGGAGTTGCAGTGAGCCGAGATCACACCACTGCACTCCAGTCTGGAGGACAAAGCAAGACTCTATCTCAAAAAAAAAAAAAAAAAAAAAGATATGTGTATATATATATATATATATATATATATATATGAATAAAACTTAGAAAACTTTGAACCATCCAGATTGCAATCTCATTTTACCCATATAACTTTTGTAATCCCTGCTGTCTCTTCAATTTTCCAGTCTTTCAATTGTGGAAACCCATATTGAGTTTTTATGTATAATAGCTAATTGCAAGTCTAAGTGTCTATACTAAATAATAAAGATAAAGGGTGGTTTTCCTACCTCCTCCGTAGGCGAGCCCACAGACTATCCTGACAATGTATTATGTCTAAATCATGCCAGTGCTTATCCATATACTTTGTCTATTCCCTCCCCTCCCTTCCCCGATCCATTACGATGCAGTCTGTCGCCTGCGGGACACTGATGACATAAGAACCTCCTTCTGAGCTTCTCTTGCAGAGTGCTCATCATAAATGGCCATCGCTTTGGGGATGACTTTCCCATTTAACTCTTCTCAAAATACTCTGAGTTTCTTCTAATGATTTTAAAGCATCAATATTTAGAAATAAAAAATTTCAAGAATGACTTCTGGAATTTTCTTCCTTTTGTAAGAGCAATTTAAAAAGATGCCATTTCAAGTCCATATTAGACATTCTCCGGCTTCCAATACGACACCTGAATTTGTGTGTGTGATCTAGAATGACAGCTGACATGTCACTGCACTGATTTTTGACGTTTGTGAATGCAGAAATCCTCACAGACTCAGACAGTGTATCTTGGGTGGTAGCGGTATGATCTGTAACATTCACCTACGCATGTTTTTAGCACTTTTTAAAAAATATAAATAAAGTGAATAACAAGGGAGGTACATTATGATTTTTAAAAATCTAGTGGGAGCATAATCAGAGTGAAATTAATCAGAGTGAAATTAATCAGAGTGAAACTTCAGGAAGAGAGGCTAATTTCATAGCTTCTCTCACTCTGTCTGCTAGAATTGCACCAATGGTCACCAGGGGCCTATCTAGTCCTGACAAATCATGTTAGCAACACTTGGAGGGACTTTAACTCATTGCCTTGTGGAGCCAATAGAGATATTTGTGAAAATGGTCAAACTACACTTTGGAATAGGGGCTATCTCCAATTTATTGTACAATTTACCTCAATATGCCATAAACAGCAAGCAAGGCTAACACTGTGAAATTTTTATTTAAATTTTCAATTTCTCCATATTGAGGAACAATCTTTAGTCAAGTATAATTAATTATTTTTTGAGACAGACTCACCTAGGCTGGAGTGCAGTGGCGCAGTCTCTGCTCACTGCAGCCTCCACCTCCCGGGTTCAAGTGATCCTCCTGCCTCAGCCTCCCAAGTAGCTGGGGCTACAGGCATTTTTGTGTGTGTGTGTGTGTTTTGTTTTTGTTTTTGTTTTTTTTTTTTTGAGATGGAGTCTCACTCTGTCACCAGGTTGGAGTGCAATGGTGTGATCTTGGCTCACTGCAACCTCTGCCTCCCGGGTTCAAGCCATTCTCCTGCCTCAGCCTCCTGAGTAGCTAGGACTACAGGCATGTGCCATCACGCCCAGCTAATTTTTGTATTTTTAGTAGAGACGGGGTTTCACCATGTTGGCCAGGCTGGTCTACAACTCCAGGGCTTACGTGATCCTCCCACCTCAGCCTCCACGGGTGTGAGCCACTGCACCCACTATGTCGAGTTTAGTTAAAGGATTAATCTCCATTCTGGTTTGGTCAGGATTCCTCATTGTTTTCCTTCACCCAAATTCTGCTTCTCATCTAGTTTGTATTCTAAGTTTTGTGCCATATCAGTGTACCATGGAACATATCTTTATTGATGTCATTTACAGAGAATTCCTTTTCTCTACATCAGCAATACCTTAAACCGACTTTAAGTACCAGGGCTGCCGGGGACGGCATCTCCCTGTGTCTTCAGCCTCGCAGCTCACTCTGTGTCCTCAGCATCCCTCTCGTTGTTCTCCTTGCACTTGCTTGGCATTGCCTACCCCTGCAATAACTGTGCTCCACTCAGAACAGATATCACAAGCTTCCATCTGTGTTTCACTTACCATGTTATTCTCATCTTCCAATAAGAACACTCTGAACTTTATTTTTTTTCTTTACTGTTTTCACCACTACCTACTAGGTTTAAAAGTATTCTCCACTCTATGTGGAAGATAATGTTTATACCCACGACCTTGAAAGAACTTCTCCCCAATCAGCTGACTAATTATAATTTACCTAATGCATTAATGTGGCACGTGTAACCTGTGACACGCAAGTAGAATCAAGGCAGTAGAACTTTAAGAAGTTAAGAGATCTGCAAACTTGCTCCCAGGCTTTTGCAATCAGAAACGCAGGGTTTGCTGGAGCTCCACAAAGGATTTTGACAGAGCCTGAGGTGAGAACCATGAAAATAAGTTCTGTTATGGAGGAATGTGGTAAATGTCCCACAAGGCTTAGCTTCATCGTGCGCCCCAGAGCTGGCCTGAGCTGTCCGGTGGGTACCTAGTTCAACAGCAGCCCAGGCCTGCGGTCGCAGCCCTGCATGCACCCTGCATTACCTGAGCGCTTTCAAACAGTGCTGGGCACAGCCCTACCCTAAACCAAGTGTACACACTACGGTTCTTGGCCTTCACCATGCATCAGAATGGTCTGCGGAGGGTTTAAAAACAACAGGTGTGTGCGACCCACTGCTTGGAAACTCTGTTTCACATGGGTCACGGGCGAGGTCCAGGTGTTCATATGTTTTGGAAACTGGGTGGGTGATTTCAATGAGCAGCCATCATTAAGTACACCGGTGTGTGTCCATGTGCGCACACACACGCACAGGCAGTATGAACACGTATGTTAACATGGGCTCCCGGCTGAGCGTTAAACATGGACCCGTGTGAATGGCTTACTGTTGAGGCCCCCGGAGATCTGTTCATGTAAAGGAGCCCAGTGTGAGGGAAGAAGGACTCAGGCAGCTGAAGCCGCTGTGAACAAAGCCTTCGTCATAGGGGTGGGAGGCGTCGTGCACCTGAGTACAGCAAGGCGCCCGCCTTTCAGCTCGGTCCCCACCCCACATCCACAGACTTGGTCCTGGGAGACGGACAGCTTTAAAGAAAAAAGAAAAGAAAACCCAGCGACTTGAGATCGCACTGCCAACAGAAAGGAACACAGAACGACAAAAGTGACATGCTCCTCACTTCTCCACAGAATGACCTTTTCTCTGCTTTTGCAGGATGAGGCCGTCAGTGCCTTGCAGCGAGTCTGGGGTGGGAAGAAAGGGTCACGGCTCCTGGCACGTGGTAGAATTAGCGAAAGGTGCCAGGTGGAGGTCTGCAGGTATCTGACTGGACAGTGAAACCCACTGCTCCCCTCATCCCTTTCTCTGTCACACACACACACCTAGTGACCTTCAAAAGTGTCTTGGGGCGTTGGGGGCGCTGGTAGTGTGGTGGTTGTACGGCTTACAGCCAGGCTTCATACGCTATCGTCCTGCCCGTTAGAGCAGCCAGCGGGTATAGAATGGATTTTGGAGGAGGGAGTCACCACTGGGCCTCCAAGGAAGCCACGTGCAGACATCTACAACCTTCGATCTCCTGACGAGTTTATTGTTGGCCAAAACCAGGCTTTGACTGAACCAGGATGAATGCGGGTGTTGGGAATAGAATATATATATACATATAAAACCGGTTGGGAGCCACGTGCACCAGTGTGTTGATCTTGGCTTGATTCAGTCAGAAACTGGCGAAGGAATATGAGAGGAGTCCTCTGGAAAGAAAAGAACAGACCCTGTGCTTTCATGAAAGTGAAGATCTGGCTGAACCAGTTCCACAAGGTTATTGTATACATAGCCTGGGTTTAAAAGGCTGTGCCCACTTTGAAGAATGTCATTGTTAGACTTTGCTGAAATTTCTAACTGCCTACCTGGATAAAGAAAATCAAATCTTTTAAATCAAAAAAAAAAAAAAAAAGTGTCTTGGGAGAATTTGGTAGGGTGCTCCTGTCCTGTGCCGGTGACAGCACTGTTATCACTGTTAGTGTGACTGTTTCCCAGGCTTGTAAGGTGACCAGGAGGAACACACACACACACACACACACACGCACACACGGCCACCGTCCCATGGGAAAGTGAGGACAGGTTCACACTCTGGGGACATGGGAAGCAAAATATCAAAGTGGAAGCTGTCCCCCAAGCCGAAGACGCTGGACACCCAGTTCACTCGTCCCTTCTGCAACCACAAGAAGTCTAATGATGGGAAAATGGAACCAGCCCACACACCAACACTGGAGGCACATCTTGCACTGTGTGTACACACACACAACCAAGCTACAAGTTACATGAATTTGTTTCTGGTGTTGACCAAAATCCCCCGTCTCTAGGAACAGGAGAACACAGTATCCAGGATGATATTTCTGACCTATATATTTTTTCTTCATGTTTCTCTTTTTAAAAATTCTTTGTCTCTTCCAATGAGTCTATAATGGGCTAGCCACTTTCTTGATAAAGGGCATTTATTACAGCTATAGAAAAATCTGGTTTCTCTGTCTACAGATAGAAAGTCACATCTCAAGCAGTGAATGTCTCCTTATAAATTTCCCTCTAGCCGGTTTTGTGTGATGCTGAAACTGAAGATCTGTCACCTTCCAGAACATCTACAGGATGAATGCCTCCCCTGGTGGCTAGTCAGCCAGAATTGTCTCCTCCCCAGGTGAACTGTGGCCAGGCACAGAAATTTGTCAATGGCCCTAAGCTGTGGTGAGAAGAAAGTCACTGTTGAACGCTTTCTGAGAATTTCCCTCTCGCTTTGCCGAAGATGATGACTTGTGACTTCCTACGTTTCGCAGTTGGGAACCCTGGTTTTCCTGTTCAGGTTTTGCTGTTGAACTCTCCAGGCTATAAATGCAGAGGAAGCAGTCAGAGTTAAATGCGCACCTCCTGTGGGATGTTTTAGAAAGAATTCAATTCCATAGGAAGGTCTGCAGTCTTATCATTTAAATCCTCAAGTCTGTAAATTAACAAATTTGGGATTCAACACTCCAGGTATATGCTGTGGTGGGGAACTTGTTTTCCAAGTCCTCTGAGAAAGACATGCCAAATGCTCACGTTTTTTAGCATGAGATTTTCTTTATTAAGGGAAAGCAACTTAAACACTTTCAGAAAATAATCTCGAACAACAAAGAAAACTGATTGAGCTTGTGTTTCCCTGCTGTCTTCTACAATTGCTTGCCCTGCTAAAAGGGACAGACAGTGCTTTTATCAGAGTTTGTGAAAAGGATGCACAATCTATTCAAGTTTAAAGGCCCACTATTATTTTAATGACCCACAAAGTTCGTATGGATTCCACACAGATTAACCAACACCTTCCTCACTATTTCACTCCAATGTCACATGTGAATACTCATGTGAATCCAACCAACTGATAAAATGTAAGAACTTGATGTTCTTTAACTTTTGTTTTGCTTTCCTCAGATTCCTTCTTTGAGAATCTAGGGACATAGAATATGCTAGTTTGGATGGCTGTGGATTCGATTAATTTAAAGATTTCAAATAAGAAAAGAAGATCTAATTAAATATTTTATTTACTTCTTACACGCACACACACCCCTTTTACTCAATTTTTTATTGTAGCCAAAGACAGAAGGAACAGATGAAATGATATGTAGAACCCTCCTAACATTGAGCGCTGCTGATTTTATGAAAAGTATCATTGATCACTGATCACAATCAGATGTACAATTCTACCCTAATTGGAAATAAAGAACAGAGCACTCAGTCAATAAAAACTTGAGAGCACATTGTTTAAACTCATAAAACACCTAAAATTGCTATTGAAGAATAATTGCTCTTCAATTACTAATAAAAGTCTTGATATTCAAACAAAAAGAGATTTCTTTGAAAAAAACCTTTTTTTTCTTTTTTCTTTTTTCTTTTTTTTTTTGGAGATGGAGTTTCCTGTTGCCCAGGCTGGAGTGCAGTGAGGCGATCTCGGCTCACTGCAACCTCCGCCTCCTGGATTCGAGTGATTCTCCTGCCTCAGCCTCCCGAGTAGCTGGGATTACAGGTGCTCACCACCAAGCCTGGCTAATTTTTTTGTATTTTTAGTAGAGACAGGGTTTCACCATGTTGGCCAGGTTGGTCTCAAACTCCTGACCTCAGGTGATCCACCCACCTTGGCCTCCCAAAGTGCTGGGATTACAGGCACGAGCACCCGGCCTGAAAAAGTTTTAAACCCACTATTTCCCAGAAATATAATTTGGTCAGCACATGTGTCCTATTATTTGAAGTTTGATCCATCACAGTAGGGATGACAATTATTAATGTTACATTGAATTTATGAGAGTATCAGAAAAAGCAATGCTTGGAAGCCAGTTGTTTTGTGAGTTTGTGTGTCTTTCTGTCTCTGCATGCGATCTCACCGCCCATGTTCAATGAATGTCCCCCTTTCTCCTCCTTAGATTCTCCCTGCTTACCCTGGGCACAGAATGGCCAAGGCGGGAACTGTTGACTCAGTCTCGGACCCATCTCCTCCTCTCTGTCCTCTCAGATCACACATATTCCTGTTTCAATCACTGATCGGTAACAGCACTGTTAATTCCACTGTAGAATTCTTCTTTCTCACAGTTACTCACTCAGTCCGCAGCATTTATTGAGTATCTACTGCATCCTGGGCACTTCTCCACTCCAGTGTTATAGCAGTGAATCAAATGACAGCTATCCCTGCCCCCAGGCACTTGTATTCCAGAGAGAGGAGACAACGAATACAAAACTAAAAATATAAGACGACGTGCCATACGTTGGAAAGTGATACGTACTCTGGAGGTGAATAAAACATGAAGACAGAAATATGACTACAGTGAGATAATTTTACCCTCAAAATCTAGGGATGTTTGTAAAAGACAGGGGATAAGAAATAAAGAAATGGCAAAATGTCACATTCACAGCAAGACCTTTCCTGGTTCAATTCGTTTATTTTTGTATTTAAGTTTTAATTTTTTTTTGGGGGGGGGGATGGAGCCTTGCTCTGTCCCCCAGGCTGGAGTGCCATGGCATGATCTCGGCTCACTGCAACCTCCACCTCCCGGGTTCAAGCGATTCTCCTACCTCAGCCTCTTGAGTAGCTGGGATTACAGGCCTGCACCACCATGCCCTGCTAATTTTGTATTTTAGTAGAAACAGGGTTTCACCATGTTGGCTCGGCTGGTCTTAAACTCCTGACCTCATGATCTGCCTGCCTCAGTCTCCCAAAGTGCTGGGATTACAGGTGTGAGTCACCGCACCTGGCCTAAATTTTAATTTTGTTTTAATTTAATTTTTTTTTTTTTTTGAGATGCAGTCTTGTTCTGTTGCCCAGGCTGGAGTGCAGTGGTGCAATCCCAGCTCACTGCAACGTCCTCCTCCTAGGTTCTAGTGATTCTTGTGCCTCAGCCTCCCAAGTACCTGGGATTACAGGCGTGTACCACCACCCTAAGGGGCCACTGCTGAAGACAGAAATACGAAGACAGAAATATGACTACAGTGAGATAATTTTACCCTCAAAATCTAGGGACGTTTGTAAAAGAGAGAGGATAAGGGGATAAATGTAACAAAAGACACGTTAACAAGAGAAAAGCACACAAATTTGTTTAATCAAAGTTTTACGAAACATGGGAGCCTTTGTAAATGAAGACCTAAAGACCCAAGGGAAAACTGCCCATTTCTATGCTTAGATTTGATGAAGAATGGTAGCCCTGCGGAGCCACGACTGGACACAGAGGGAGCGACGGAACAGTGACAGATGGAGGGTCCCAGCTGGATCCGTCTGTCTGGGTTCCTCTTGGCCTCCCTGTGTGGCGTTCCTTCTTCCTGGGGGTAGGGCAGGGCGCCTTCTGGAATGAGGGTCTTATAACCTACTTTCAGGCAAGTAGAGCCAGAGAACTCCTTTATGGCCAGCTCTTACCCAGAAAGGCAGGGAAAGTTCGAGCAGTGATTCTAGTTTTTAATGGCTGGCTTTGGGGAAAGAGGTTCTAGCTTCTGTGATCTACTTTAAAGAAGAGGACTTCTGGCCTCTGTGACTGACTTCTTGGGGGAACGAGAGGCAAGAGACAGGAGGGCTGGAGAAGATCAGAGACTTGGTTCTGAGGCTGCTTCTGAGGCTTTCCAATGCCCTTTAGTTCAAAGTACTCAGCAGGTCAAGGCCATACTTGGGGCATCCTTTTCGGAGCCATGACTTACGACTTAAAGCAAGATGAACTCTTTTGCTATTATGTAGCAGAATCAGAATGAAACCTAGACTGCAGAATTCAGAGTCCATGTGCTCCATTGTTATGCTATCCCAGTCTATGCGGTTGAGTGGATGAAATCACGTGGCATCATTGTGCTTACGCCATAGGAAGCAATCCACACATGACAGATACCGCTATTATAACTCAGCATCCTCCATTCTGTCATCATGTGGTCTTCATCTCTTGCAGTCTCATTTTGCTCGTCTGCAGAATTTGCATGAGTATTGAGAAGATGTCTGAGGATGCCAGGTGCTAGAACTGCAGAGAGAAGGGATGTTGGCTGTGTTGGTTATTTGGGTGTCTCAGGCCATCATTCAGTCCCCCTGAACTCTTCCCTCAAGCTGAGCCCTGAGAAGGGGAGCACAGGGGCGCGAACAGGTCGGGTTGCAGGCCCGCCCTATGACCTCCACATCTCTCTTCTTCTTTCCTCTTCTCCGAATTTTAGAAAGCGCATCCTCTCAAATCTTTTTTGTTGTGAATGTAGTTGCTTGTTCGTATGGCAGTCCCGTAGCTACAGAGGCCCTTAAATGCCAAGAATTAACTTCTTTTCTTCGCTACTATTTTAAAGCACAGGTTTTGTTATAATTTTGATAGGGCAAGACCAATAGATAGGAGATGACTACCATTGAAAAAAAAGTCTCATGCTCACAGATGCCAAGAGGAGCGAGCGCCACACCGTGTGGCCACACGGGAAGCACCTGGTCAGGCA